TAGCTGTCAATGTCGAATGTCAATTATCCCAAGGAATTTTTTTGTGATGTGGAAGATCAGCCTAAGCCGCAACCACATAGCATACTAAAATAAACCAAGAGCTCTGATACCAACTTTTGTGGAATTCGGGTTAATTTCCACCAATAATAACAAATTCACATTGAAAACTATTATCTAGGTGACTAGTGTGAAAATGATTGTACTAAAAATCACACCAAGGTAGATTCCCAGGAAAGAGGAGGGGTCACAATGGTCCCTCTTAAAACCCACTTTCCTTAGACAGAACTACCAAAACAAGTAATTTTAATAGGACAATAATTAACAACAACTATACCCAACAATAACTATTAAATAAACATAAAAAGAACACCAAAATTTAACGATGTTAGGCCAAAATTATGTATACCTTCTCGAACACTACTAAAATAATATTTCACTAGTAGAGGAAATATTAAAAAGAGAAAGAAAAAATACAAATAGCCTTTAATATAGAAGAAAACTTATATTTGTGAGATGCTAAACTAAGGAGGAGGAGGACTCTATTTATAACAAAAGAATTTCCCATCCTCCTTATACAAAACCAATGTGGGATATTTTCCAAAAACCAACAATATTTGAGTTACCAATTTAGTCCATCTTCTGTATCATCTGTCATGCCAATATGCTTGTCTTTTCGGTACCATAACGGTCAACGATGAAAAAACGTTATCAAATGATCACATTAAGTTTGTTTTATGAGTTAAAGGGTCATATTGAGTGCAAAATAATACAATAATCACATTAATTTTTCCCCAAAAAATACAAGGACTTCTAATGTCTATTAGTGGCGGTATATATATATTGTTTTCACATACAATGAGTTTGTGGCACAGTTGGCATGCGGAGGAAGCCATACAACTGGGACAAAATAGGAGCTTCATTGGATGTCTGTGTTCCCACACACTCCAATGCCTGCTGTTCTGCAGGACATTCTTCCAATACCTGGTTTCATTTTCAATTTTAATCACTCATTTATTCTTTTTGGTATTTTTTTTATTAAAACAAGAACCAAACATAAAATTAAGTATAATTTTGAGGAGAAATTATTTGTACGGGAGTTAACATAACATGTATACAGGTCGAAAAGGGGTAAAGGATCCAGTGTTTTCTGATCAAGATCATCCTACAGACAAAGGGATCAATGATCCTGAGTTTGGTGCTTTTTGGTACGATTATTCGTACAAAAAGTCCAAAACCAAAGATGATTCAGACAAAAAATCCAACACTGAAGATTCTTCCACAAACAAAGGAGTCAATGATCCCGAATTTAGTGCTTCTTGGTACGGTTATTCATACAAAAAATCCAAAACTGGAGATTCAGGTAAAGATGATCCAAAATTGGAGACAAATACCGATTCAAATTCAGCTAGCTGAATAAAGTTCATATAAATAAGCCAAAGTAATTGAGGTTCCTGCTTTCAAATTTTCAAATATTTCGAGAATAATCATCTACTGATACATAGTACAGTTAATCAGTAAGTTTGATTTTATTATAAACTATATAAATTAAATGATTTATCAATATATAATAAAATGTAAAGAAATTAAATTCGAATGATAGTATACATTAAATTAGATAATTTTTCCATATGATAAGTGAGAATAAATACTTTTAATCAAAATAATTACTGGTATTTATAAATAATATACCGTATTTACCAAACGCTGTATTCTGCGTGACCGCCATTTTCCAGAGAAAAAGCACAGGGTTTTCATTTTTGCAACCCAAAAAGAAAAAAAAAACGAAAGACCAAGCTTTGACTGGAAAAATGGAAGCAAAGGTAGGGAAATTCTTCGAGTCGGTGAATAACTTCTTCTCTGGCTCAGATCAGCTTCCTTGGTGCGATTCTGATATCATTGCAGTAAGTGCTGTGTTCCCCCCCCCCCTTTTCTCTCTAAATTTCATATTTTCTTCTAGATCTTTGTATTGATTGCCTTGCGTTCTCTGGATTGACTTTTTGTTGTATTTCTGGCTTTTGGAATAATTTTCATTATGTTTTGTATTTCCTTCTCAAATTCGTTTTTCTTAGGGTGAAGGGTTTTGTCAATTTTAGAGTAATTTCATGTAAACAAAAGCAATTGCGGTAGAAATAAATCTCTAGTTGTCTTTACTGTTGAACTTTTTGATGAACCTCGGTACCTTTTAGCATGAATCATCTGGTGCTATCAGTTATTGTGAGGCAGGTTTTTAGTTAGTAGCTGGCAGAAATTTCTGCATTATAAGGCAATTCATGTACCCGTTTCTTTAATTGTTCCCTGATTGATTATTTTGTTTAAAGCATATGCCTCGGGTTGCTGCCTTTATCTGGTGATTGGTAATTTGGTATCCCCCTTGTTTGTTTGCCTTATCTGCTTGGAAGTAAGAGCATGAAGGGGGCAGAGTCCGAAAAATACTTGAGGGCTGTTGTATTATGTGGAATTGAAATTCCATTTGGCATTAATTTTTGGTTTTTATTCCGAATGTTTTTTTTTCAAAACCTTCATATCATGTGGAATTGGAACTTGGAATCCCATTTAGCCTTAATTTTCTGTTGCTCCTTATTCCTGGAGAACTTAATATATAAAAGCAAAAGGAAAAGTACTGATAATGGTTAAGCCGATGAAAAAGGAACATAATGGTTGTTTTCATGGTACTTGAACTATTTTGTGGCTTGCCCTTTTTCTTATTACTTCTGGGATTTCATTATTGATGTGAGGCATGTATGTTCATATTCACCACATTGAATTGTTTATAATATATATATATATATGTCTTTTCTCCTGCATGATGAAATAATGTTGAAAACGTAAATTCGTAGTGTGATGATCTGACTAAATCCCCTGGCTTTGTACATACTGGTAAAGACTATAGAATTGATTTGATCTTTTCATTTTTGTTTTTGAAATCATTCTCAGGGATGCGAAAAGGAGGCTGCGGGGGCTGATAAAGGTTCTGAAGAGTTAAAAAATGAATGTCTCACTCGATTTTCATGGGCTCTTGTTCACTCACGACGAGCAGAAGATATAGAACGTGGGATAGCTATGCTCGAAGGTCAAACTGCTGTTGTTGAGATTTATTTCTGATTAATCTTTACCTGTTCAATTATGTTCAATTAAAATATTTGTTATTTGCAGCTTCATTGGCCAGCTCTTCCGATCCACTGAAAATGCGAGAGAAGCTGTATCTTCTGGCTGTCGGACATTTCCGAAGGGGCGACTATTCAAGGAGCAGGGAGCTTGTGGAGCAGTGTTTAATGGTTGATATTTACTATCCTTATTTATTAATGATACTCTAGATATTATGACATTTCTTATTGCTGCACATGCTGCATTATTTTGTATTTGGCACCTTCAACCTAATCATGGTAATCCATGTATGCATGGCGTATCTCATTTTTTTTTCCGGCAGAACCTTTATAAACATAAACAAAACAGACATTATTGAATGTGTCAAATTCTAAACACAAATATGATGTATTGATGTGTACTGGACCTGCCGTGTCATGTTTATTATAGGATTTTTGTATTTATTAAATATGTAGGGTCCTTATTAGTAGTAAAATTATCAGGTGGGGTTTTCTTGAAGATGGAGTATTCTTAAAGAAAAACAATCTATCTAGAAACTTTCATCCTAGTCTATTTGCATTCGGTATAAGTCCATATTGGTATGTGCTCGATATGGGCTTGTTCTCACCCCCCACCCTTCTCTTCCATATATTTAGAAGATGTGTTGGACACGGGTGCTTCAAGTAAAATGAAGAGTCAAAGTGCCAAATTGAAAATTGTAATTCGTTTGTCCACGTATATTGACATGGTTTTTCTTTGAATCTGGCAGATAGAACCTGAATGGAGACAGGCACAAAATCTCAAGAAGGCAATTGAAGAGAGGATTAAAAAAGGTGATTTAGCACCTATGATTAGGGTGCAAAGTAGACCTATATACTTGCAAGCTACTTAAATTTCTTCTGGCGAAATTTTAATTTGATTTGGTCATATTGAGTTGACCTTGAGCCTGAGTCTTGAAAACAACAGAGTTATTTGAATATCTTTATGGTTGATTCAAGCATCTTGTGAGCTCAATCGAGTTTTCTTTTCTTTTAGTTAATATTAGAAAAATGACAAGTCGAGCTCAGGTTCGAACAGACACAACCAAATGTGAAATTGGAACTTGAGTTGGCTCAAATTGTTCGGTTTTTGCCTTGAATTGAACACAAATAATATGAATGCTTTTGGTGCAGATGGAGTGATTGGCATAGGCATTGCTGTTACTGCTGCTGGGCTGGTTGCCGGTGGCATTGCTGCTGCTCTTTCACGCAAGAACTAAAGCCCCCATCCACTCTTATCATATCATATGTGTCGGAAACAGATCTTGGAAAATATTTTCAATTATCAAGAAGAAAAGAAATGCTACCTAAATACATCTTGTTATTCTCTCACGTACCGGAAGAGCAAGATTATACTGTCATATTTTCAGCTTTTCTAGTGTTTTAGCATGTATGTTAAATATTGAATAAATTAATTTTTTTCAATTATTTGTTTGTTATTTTTAACCTTTATCTATACATACATATCATGGTCCTTATAAGATGGACTAGTAGTACTTTTATTGAGTTAATTACTCATAATTTTATATTTTCTTTCTGGAATAAGAAATTCACCCCACAAATAAATCAATAACCACCTTAAAAAAAATGAAAAGAACTTTATTTTTGGAAATTACACACATTTTCAGCCTATCATCTTCGCTTTGGGGCTTGAAATTCACTTGCTTTTACATTAATCATCACATCAATTGATGTCAAATTTTGTAAGTTTTTCAAAAATATGAACTATTTTCTTATTCGACAGTCTTACTTGATAACTGAGCTGACGAATATTATATTGTGTGTTTAATAGAGCATGTCCCACCTTTATTCGTTCATTCTTTGCTTCAAGTATTGTGACTTAGATATATGAGCCAAATGAAACGATGATCACAAATATGAGACAAAAAGCTGCAACCGAAGCCTAAGCACAATCAACATTCACCACTTGACACCATAAATAAAAAAGGATTGAGGCATATATCATATTAGACAAATAAAAGTCCATGGTTCAGTAAATTTCAAGCACCAAATCTCAAATCTCTCGTTACAAATCCAACTTCATAAATAGAGATCAAGTCAGTATCTCCTCCTAGGACTCCGAGAGCGATGTGTCCGTCCGGCTCTGCAAGTTAGAGTGTATTGTTAGATTAAGCACAACAGGTTCCATTCAGCAGCTAAAAGAATCTATTTTCAAACAGCAAAACCATGGAATTAGCACCAAATCAGAAATGACATTGTGGCTTGAGTTGTATCAGTTCGAGCAGTATAAAGGAGAATGTAAACATGCAGGGCAAAGGAAAAATACCATCAAGCATACCTTTTGCACAAAGTTGTTATCCGTGTTTGTTATCTTTCAAATAAAATTAATTTAAAAGGAAAAGAAAATGATTAGGCCAAGTTTTGAAATCGGACTAGGTTGGCTGGCACATGCCATCTACATTCAAGTCATTCAACTTTGGATTGCTTTGGTAAAAGGCTTAAAATGTTATAAATTTAACTCAAGTTCAGTTGGGTTGAATGAATATATCCTCTTTACACCGATTCTAGATGATATATTTAACAGATCATGCAACAGTTAAAAGCATATTAATAGACAAACCTCATATTTTTTCTCTTGGAGGCTCTAATACTGGGTCCATTGCTAAAAGCCCAATCAACATTGATAGTCTGTGTAAGAAGTTCTGCTCCATCTGTTGCAGTTATGGCATTCTTTGCTTCTTCAAACTTTTCATATTCAATGAGTGCATATCCCTACGTGGAAACAAGCATATTAGTTTTCCTTGAACTAAATTATACAATACTAAGAATCAATGCTATCAAATCACAGTATTGTAAAGAGTCAAACCAGCATCAAGTAACAACTTAAAATGGTTTGAAACACTTAAGTGCTCAATATCTTATGATAAACTCAAAATATAAAATGTTAAACACGCAGATAGACACAACATTTCAAACAGAATCACAGACACATACATATATATATGCATGTGCAGGAAAACACAGTTCCCCAAGCCAATGGTCACCAAGAAAGCTATACCACTTTATTACGTTGCTTACCTTGACAAATCCAGTACGGCGATCAAGATTTAAATGCAAGTTCTTGATCTCACCAAATTCACCAAATGTGTTGTGTAAATCATCCTCTTGTGCTTCCTCATGCACACCGGTGACCAAGATTATCCATCCTTCAATAGCTGCAAGTTTACCAATGGCATATGAAAGAAAATATTACTACATAAAAAAAAATAGTTTACAATAAAGGAAAATCCTATTTCATTTGTAACACAATTGTTTTTGTCTCAAATTGTCATCATGCAACAAAACAAAGGCCATCCACAAAAGGTTTGCATATCTTTTTTTTTTTGATAGAAGTTGGAGGTCTCATTAAAAACTCCCTTCGTATTCGTTTACATACTTAGAAGTATGTTAACGAATATTGGAAGGAAGAAAAGAGTACCTCATATTTTATTAATAAGAATACCCAATACAAAAGACAACACGGAAAATCCTCCTATGGTGATATACACCATTACAACAAACACCTTAAACTCTTAAATCCTCATCCAAAGCCAAAGTCGAATCACCTTAAATCTAAATACACCTCCATCAATGGATCAAAAACAACACAAAAAAACATAATACAAAAGAAAAGCAACACCTTCAACCATATAAACTAAATCAAAGCCACAAATAGAGAGACGAGGTCTAAATACACCTCCATCAATGGATCAAAAACAAGGGCCATCCACAAAAAGTTTGCACATCTTTAAAACAGCTGAACAGGCAGAAAATTTCTAAGAATACAACATAAAATTTCTAATGCACTCAATTTGGAGGTCGAAACAGGTAACTTTGTTTTCCTCAAGGAAGAGAAAATGCCTATAAACCTCAACAATGATGTCCCAACCAAATTTCAAATTCAAGAAAACAGGATCTATCCCTGTTCCATGCTTCCAACAACAGAATAAATCAACAAAATGATCCTAAGCCAAATTCTCAACAATCACTCTAAATCCATTTAGGGTTAAAGATATCACACCTTACAGTTCTTCGATTGCTCATCTAATGTGGCTAGAAAAACTCAAGAAGCATCTGTCATTAAACTTGTTCTAGTCTCTCTAATGGCCAGAAAATTCATGAAGCATCCAACAAATCCATGAATTTGAGAAATAAATACAAATCCTGTATGAGACTATGAATACTATAAAGTATAAACAAATGAAACTGTTTAAGTTCTCCATTGCAAACCACAGTATTTTATAATGAAATGTTTCTTAGAGTAGAGAACTTCAGAAAATTAGACGCTAACTTCTTAGAGTAAAGATACTCGCAACCATTGCTTAAAGAAATGAAATCAGAAACCTACTCAAGCTTTAACATTAAGCAACGCTGCCAAAACTCCCAAGTAATTTCAACCAAAATTATTCTAAAATCAGTGAACAAAATTTTAGACCAATCTCGTAATTATTTTATCTAATAGGCCAGAAAAATCTAAAAAAAAGAGAGTAAAGAAACAACACAGATAAACAGAAAAAAAGAACTTAGGGTTTAGTGAAGGGACTAACATCTCTGGGGACCGGGGCCACCATCTGAGCCGGTAGATTCGAAATCCCGGGAGGCGAGATGGGAGTGACGGTCGGCGTCGTCCTGGCGGAAGCCACGGCCTTTAGTCTTCTTAGGGCCAGAAAGAGAAATGGAAGCGCCGCCAGTGATGGCTGACTTGAGCTTAGGCATGGAGGCTTGAGGGGAGGCGTCACCGCCGCCGGCATCCTCGTCCATCAAGTCGTCGTCCTCCGGCTCGAAATCCAAAGCCTCCGCGTCAGCACTCGCCATCACGTGATCTTAACGTGTGATTCTTCCCTTTGTTACTCTCGCAAGATGTAAATGTTCTGATGTTCCCGAAACCTAAGCTGATTTGAGGTTTTTATGGAGTATATATAGGGATAGACATGGTCCGGTTGGATTGGCTTTCAGGACAATTGATTCTATTCGAAAATTATACACTATTTATATGACTTGAACTCGATCTAAAATTATATATCATCCATTCGATTAGAAACCGACACTCTTTTTTGATATAAAACTCGAATATTTGATCTAACTTGAAATAATATATAGAGTGGTCTTTTTACAATTATTCATAAACATATAAGATAAAATTATAATTTTTGGGTCGAATCAAATATTTTTCGCTCTAAACTCAAACTCTACCATACTCAAACATAATCTCTAAAGAAACCGAGACTTGACCCGAACCTATATTTTTTTAAAAATATAACTTAATAAGATTGAGTCGAATCAAAACTCATCGAATTTGAATATCGTACCAATCCGTAAGTATATAATTTTCCAAGAATTTAACTCAACTTAAAATCAAAGGTAAATTACACCATAATCATTAACTTATTAATATCTTTTATTTTAATCATCATTTATTTTATAAAAGTGTTATCGATATGATTATCATCTGTTAAAAATTTAATGAAATGGTAATATATTATTTCTCCCCAAATTTTCACGTTATCTTTTTCTTGTCAACAACGGGTTTGTTATTTATTTTTTAAATACTTTATTTAATGAATACAATAATATTAAAATTTTGAATATAGTGAGATAAGACATTAATATATAATATAACAAATTAGATTAAAAGAGTAAAATTATAATAAATTATATAATATTCTATTGGAATACACGTGGTTAAAAAAAGCAATCACATTGATAAAATAAGCTAAAACAAAAAAAATGGCAGAAATTAAACTTTGTTGAAAACTAGCCACAATTGGATGTTCCTCCATAGACAACAAAACATGTCTTGGCGAACAGATCTTTTTGGCTGCATTTCCAACAGATTCCATATGACAAAACTCAATGAATGTTCTTTAAAAATCTTAAAACCATTCCCCATCAAATCTGGCAAAACTTTCGAGATAATGTTCTGAAAGAAATTAATTCACGAGCTAATGCACTCCCAAGATTAATTGCTCAAATAGGGTGAAATCTACAGTGTTGGCCGTAGGTCACCATGCACTTCGGGCGACCTACCCTTGCTCAAACAGAGAGAATGAACGTGTTGCATGGCACATGCACGTCCCAACACATAGGTCGCCATGCCCTCCGGGCGACCTTGTAGGTCGCCATGCCCTCTAGGCGATCTTGTAGGTCGCCATGCACTCCGAGCGACCTACCCTCGCTCGGCTTCCCTCGGATTCCCTCGCATAGCTCGCTCGGTTGTCCTCGGATGCCCTCGCATAGCTCGTTCGGATGGCCTCGGTCGGATGGCCTCGGTCGGATGGCCTCGGATGCTCTCGGATGGCCTCGGATGCTCTCGGATGGCATCGGTCGGATGGCCTCAGATGCCCAGCGTGTTGGGACGTGCATGGCACATGCAATCTCTTGTAGCTCGCCGGGAAGACATGGCGACCTAGTAGGTCGCCCGGAAGGCATGACGACCTACGGCCAACACTGTAGATTTCACCTTATTTGAGCAATTAATCTTGGGAGTGCTTTATCTCGTGAATTAATTTTTTCCAAAACATTATCTCGAAAGTTTTGCCATCAAATCACCTACCATTTCTACACCAAAGACCGAGTTTTTTTCCCTATAGTAACCTTTTTCTTAAAACCCTTCCAGAGTATCAGAATGTGCGGCTGTTGTTTTAGCCGAAAGCGCAACGGTGAATCGGGTGATAACACGGAAAACTCCACCGTGCTCGGCGGCACTAGAAACGAAAACCCCACCTGTTCCAATTCACAACAGACTTCGTACAAAACAGTGCCTTCGTCGTCTCAAGGAGGAGCCTCGGTCACAATGGGAGGCGCGATTGGACTGGTGTTAGGCCAGCCAATGGAAGACGTAAAAGCGACGTACAGCATCGGGAATGAACTGGGGAGGGGACAGTTCGGGGTGACGTATCTGTGCACGAACAAAGCAACGGGGGAGCAATTCGCTTGCAAGACGATAGCCAAGAGGAAACTGGTGAACGAGGAGGACAGGGAGGATGTTCGAAGGGAGGTTCAGATAATGCACCATCTGACGGACAGCCGAATATCGTGGAACTCAAAGGGGCCTACGAGGATAAACAGTCGGTTCATTTGGTGATGGAGTTGTGCCGCGACGGAGAGATGTTCGATCGGATCATCGCTAAGGGACATTACACGGAATGCGCGGCGGCTGCTTTACTACGAAGGATCGTTCAGATTGTTCACACTTTCCATTCCATGGGAGTCATCCATAGGGATATCAAGCCTGAGAACTTCTTGTTGTTGAGCAAGGAAGAAAGCTCTCCCCTCAAAGCCACAGATTTCGGTCTATCAATCTTTTTCAAGCCAGGTCCTCTCTTTTCTTTCAAGTGACATAATTTTTTCACTTAAAATTTATACATGTAAGAAGTTAATTGAATATTTTGTCTTGATTCCAAACAGGACAAGTATTTAAAGACATTGTTGGAAGTGCATATTACATTGCACCAGAAGTTTTGAAGGGGAGATATGGACCTGAAGCTGATATATGGAGTCTTGGGGTTATATTGTATATTCTTCTTTCTGGTTCTCCTCCTTTCTGGGCTGGTTAGTTAATCAACACTACAGCAAAACTGTTCTGTAGCGGCGTTTTTCGCGGCGTTTGGAGAGTAAACGCCACAAAAGTTAAAAATATAGTAGCGTTTACATATAGTCAACGTTTGATGGATGAACCATACGTATTTTCTCCGCAAGTGAAACAAGTATTTTATTGTCGCGATCAAATGGATGATGATTGGTATGTTGCGCTTCGAAATACTCCCAGAGACTTGTTAGACATCGAGGATGGTCAATGGAAGTAGAGATGAAATTGAAACAAGATCAGAATGTTTACCTCTACTACCACAAAACTTAGATGAAACTATCATAAATACAACACAATTTCAATGGGTTCAGGAGGACGTTGATAAAGATATTTATGACAACTGACATTATATAAGAAAATCGTACGATTTTATATCTTCATTTATTTAATTATAATGTTATAACATTTAACATGTTGTCTTTCAATATATTCATTAATTAATGAGTTTTTTTTATTACACATGTTTGTTTATTATAAATATCATGCCGAGGAGAAAAATTACTGATTTGCGGGTTGTTCGAGCTTCTGAAGACCATGAAGAAAGAAATAACAAGGAATCGAATGCACCTGAGTCTTCCGAAGTTCCTGAAACTGTTGAAGAAGAAGTAGAAATTCAAGGTAATCTTCGAAACTTTATTTACTACTTTGTTCATTTTCAAAACTGAAAACTGACATTTAATAATTTCTTATATAGTTAAAAATGCTCGAACGCGCAAGACTTGAGGACGTACAACTTTGAAGGAATTATATCAACTTCCTCCTGGGCATCGTTTCAAAGTTTCAAGAAACCGGTTAACCTATTGGGCCAGAAGCACGTCTTCTAGCAGTTTACTTAGGCATAGTTGGACGTAATGCGAATATGTTATCGATCAATTATGAGTCATGGCACGAAATGCCTAAAGTAACAAAAATCAGGCGTTGGATTTTGTTAAGGTAATAATGTCATCATTAGTATATACTCTATAGAAATTCAATACTAATGTATTCTTACGGTGCACACTTATTTGCTGTATAGGAGAAATTTTCTTTGGAGGTCTCTAACGATTATGTGAAGCAAGCGTTAGGGAAGAGATAGAAAGACCACAAGATCTCCTTAAAGAAGAAATACTTCAAGAATGATCTCAACCTAGAAGAAAAGCTGCAAACAGTCCCACCTGGAATGCTCAGGTACCAATGGGAAGATGCAGTCAGATTTTGGAGTTCACAAAAAGGACAAGTATGATGTATTTTTAATTAATAATTGTAACAAATTATAAATTATCATTAAAAGTGTTTGTTTGACATTGTAGGACCGAGAGCATGTTGGCGTTGCTAGCAGGCAACAATAAAAGTTTACGTACACAGCTGGATCGAAGAGCTTTGCTTGTATAACTAATGAGGAGGTATTATAGATTATTGACATTGTTTCTTGTATTCCATGTACATACTAACTCATAGTAATTATATTATGGTGCATTGTAGGAAAATACATCTGGTTCTAAAGTTGGCCGAATCCAACTATTCGACATGACACATATGAAGAAGGATGGCACTCCTATGACTGATAAAGCTGTAGAAATTATGGTACATTTATTGGGTAGATTTTTAAATTTACCTGACTTTATTTATATTTGTACCATGATATTTTTTATTTTAATTATTTATTCACCTTATTATTAGGAAAAATTAAGGGAGAAAAGGGCGGAGTATCACGTTACTAGTTCGAGTCAAGGTCTTGTTGATGATGATGACATTGAAAACCGAGTTATTAATGACGTTTTGGGTCCTGAAAGATATGGTCGGGTGCGCTGTCAAGGATCATTTGTTACTCCCACCAAATATTTTGGATCCAGTTCATCACAGTACACGTCATCACAGTCTCAATCTTCCCAATTAGAAGTTAGTCGTTTAAAACAAAAGTTGGTTGATATGGATCAACAAATGGCTAACATGAAAGCGGAAAATGAAGCAAGGGAAGCAGCGACAACACAGAGAGAAGTAACATATCAGCATAGATGTGAAGAATTTGAAAAACGACTCAATGATATGATGCAGATGATACAGAAAACTCAACCTCAAAATTCACCATCATAGTCTCATTTATGTTATCAGCATTCTGTTAATGTTACTGAATCGTGTTTAACTGTACTTATATTACGTTAATGAAAACTTTTATTTATTATATTGAATTTGATGTTGTTTGTTATTGATATAGAGTTTGATGTTATTACTGTCATGTTTGTTGGATAATGGAACAGGTTGAAAAAAAAAACAGATTTGGGGTAATCGATAATAATTTTTTAATTGTTTAAATTATGTGTTATTTAGCGGCGTTTGTAACAAAAACGCCACAATA